TGCAATACAAGTTGTAATAGCGCACCGTCTTTTGGATGAGACGTTTAAGCCGTTGGTCCTGTGTGCATTTATGTCCCATGTGCATGTTGAAGAACGCAGTACACTCTTCGGAAAAGAGTAGTGGATTGTCTCCTGGTGTACTGCGAAATCACCACCAGAAGGACCCCACTGGAAACAATTCTTCGGACTTAGTGGGTTATCCTTGGTGTGATTAACACTGAAATATGCCAATCCTACTCCTATCCTATCATGAATACAACAATACATGATAAATTATATATATATATAGTTGTTGTATTGTTGTATACTATTTAGATTTATGAATAGTATAATAAATATTTTTTTCTCTTTCGTGTTGGCAACCCACTTTTATTAAGTCTTTCTGTTACATCATAATAAACAAAACAAAAATTGTAAATATTTTCAAACATTATGAATACTATAAGAATAGCTCAAGATATTGCACAAATAAAACATAGTTAATAAACAGCATATATGAATGAGAATATAATTATTTTACAGATTGCGATAAAATGTGATGTAATATTTTGAAATAAATTAAACCTTGCTCTATGAGCCTAAATATAGTAAAATAATAAACTAAATCGGTAAAATTTATATTAAAAGGGGATTTACATTCAAAATATTGCAAAATGAGATATGGTATTATAATGGTAAAATAGCTACATTGGAAATTTCTAGATCTGTGAAAACTATGTAGAGGTATAATGTGAATATATAAACTTGATTATTAGCCAATTCTCATTCAAAGGAGCCAAAGTTGTATGATGTTTGAAAAGAGCACTGTTCATGCTTTAATTTAAAAGTACAGTAACTTACATTTTTTTAAATTTTTTTTTATAGGTTTATTTTCAGGTTTGTATTTTTATCAAAACACATGGAATGGAATGGGTGATGGTTAGATATGAACCTTAGAATAAAGATGTCTAAACCATGGAGATTAAAAGGCTAACCAACCCTGATTGCTAATCATTGTGTTTGCCTAAGGCAACACAAGTTTCTTTATGGCGATCATTCACTTTAAAAAGAACATTAGCTATTTGCATTTCACAAGTTCATTAAATGTATGATCTATTAATGACTAATTATGCATGAATTATTTTTTAGTAACTATGTAGTGCATGATTTGCATTATGCTGTGAGCAATGCAGATTTTCTGCATTGAATGAAAAAAACTTGACCTTCTACAGGGCTGGTACTTGCAAAGTATATTATAATGATGTTACGATTGCAGTATAATGACAATTTAAAGTGTTTTTGATTTCTTAACTTAATAGTAAGTCAATTTTGATAGATAAAATAATATATCAAATGTGTCAGAAATTTATGTTTATATTAGTTGAGACTTGTTTATTATGGAAGGCTGTCGGAGGGGTTTGTAGGAAAGAATGTAAAATGAATTTGTTTTCTCATCTAGCAAAAATCATCTAGACAGAGGCGAAAATATAATTTTTATTTTATTGATAAAGAAAAATTCTAATGCGTGTAAAAAGTAATAGATCATGCCGCCCTTAAATCCCAGCCTATGATCCGATTGCGGGCTTGTAAAGAATGTGATGTTGCTATGTAAATACCGTAATCATTATTTTTGATAAATGAGTACACTATTTTTTTAATTGTAAGATTACTTATTGGGCGATTTTGTGGAGGCGGCAGTGTGCATGACAGAAATATTAAAATGAAGCATTTAATTTTTTTTAATGAAATGCAAATTTCTTCATGGTTGCTTGTGGGTGCTGATGGGCAAAAAAAATGATTTTTATTAAAAATCAATATTAGCATGTAGCAGGTTCATGAAACAAGGTTAAAAAACGTCTTGCCAAATATATTTATATTATACTATAAAAACATCTTATCTCATTGAATATTTCATACAATAAATACATGTGCATACAGTTTTCCTGTTTATTCAGTGTAAAACCTTGAAAAGTTTTCAAAATCTAATCAATTCTTTGAAAATTGTACTTAATAATAACAATAACTTTATTTTTAAACAGAAAAACTTGAATCACAAAAGTTGTGATTTTCACAAGGCCGTTTTGACTTAACATAAATACAAGTACTTACAAATTTATATAACAATGAAAAGTACAAAAGTAAAGTAATTAATAACATCATTTAATTACATGTTATGAAAGATATACAGAAGTTATAATAAAAAATGAAATTAAAGTATACAAAATCTTAATAAAGAAAAAGTTGCATGTATACATTTTTATTTCAAAACACTAAAATTTCAAAACACTAAAATACTTAAAAGTATCTTTATGAAAGAAAAGCTGCTAGTTTTTATATTCAATATTTGTTAATGTTGCTATGCAAAAAATACATACCTTACGCATTCAGCGTAAGACTCTGGGGTCTGTTTCACGCTTAAGATCTTGTGCATAAGTGTAATGCCTACTTATAAAATATGTGACCCGTGTAGCCTCTTTACAAAAAAATTCTTCATCTACAGTACTTTAAATATCATGGTAACATCATAAAGTATAGCAACTAGCTGCACTAACACTGTGAATATGTGGTTTTATAAAGTTCAATTGGAAAAAATGCAGATGCTGAATGTATTTTCAAGCATTTAGGAAAAATATATCTTGAGTGGGGTGAAGGGGGCTATAGGGGTACGACTCCCATAACATTTTTCAAAAGTCATGTCCGCAAATTTGTCTCATTTGGAATCTCTGACAATATTGGAACTGTATTAGTGAATTATATTTTTAATGATGAAATGTTTTCTCATCCTTATTTTTAATTGAAAGTTAAACTACTATCTAATACAGTATATAGAAATAGTAATTCTTATATAATTTTTAAAGTTTATTAGTTAAACCAAGGAGGTATACCTCCTTGGTTAAACACAGTCTTTTTTGCAAAGAAACCTCGCCTTTATTATTTGTTAGGCCTTTGGCCTATCGAAAACAAAGTTATTATGAAACATTTGTATTTAATAGAAGAGCACTTTGCAGATAACATAATGCTTTGAAAACATAGAGAATAAATATATGAAATTGCTTCATTAAAATGTTAAAATTGTTTTGGAATGTTTCTTAAAGAATAATTATAGCAGAAATGAAAGTGTTTTTTGGAGATTGACAATTTAATAGATAATACCAACTTTGCTGATTGAAATTTACTGTGTGTTTTGTTGGTCTCTGAAAGTTGTGTGATATGTTTAATAGCATCCCAGTAATCTTTCACACGTACCTGAAATGCCATTGATACCCATGCAAATTGAAATCAATATATATGATCTTATACCTGATTCACATGCAACAAAAATTGTACACATGACGCGTGCAAGATAGAAATTAGCAAGCGTGCATCGTGTCCGTGTGAAGGTGCAACTGAGTAAGGTTGGCATACATCAATTTTAATATTCAAAACATATATCATAGAGGCTTGTAACACATGGATCTGTACGTATGTTTTTTGGGCAGAGCTTATTATTCAATGTAGTGATGAGCTTTGCGAATTTCTTGCGAATCAATTGTATCATCTTTTGGCAAGGATTGAATTCCCTCAAGTGAAAGGACGATGATTTCAGTAGCAAGTTGGTGGGGACATGACTTCTTGTTTAACATTTAGTCTCATGCGAATCGGATGATGAAGATATTAATAATTCATAACATTATGATTTCACTTGTCTTCCACAATCAGTAATTGTTATTGAACTCAAATAGCATACATTGATTATATTTTATTTATGTACCGTATTACATGTTACAGTACTGTGATTGTTAAAATTATTTATTAGATATTAGTTATCACCTGTGGTAAATTCAGGGAAAACATAAAAAAAATTCCAACATCGAATTGAATTTCTCATTTATAATGATCAAAAAAATTATGATTTCCAATGCGAGACAGATTGAAACTATTAAGATATTCTGATTTAGAGACAATTATTACTTGAGGGGAAAAATTCTTAAATTGATTAAATAATGGACCTTTCGGTAGTATCAATCAAAATTTACAACAACCCACCAATCAGAACAGGGCCAGAAATGCGTGTGTGTCCTACTAATACACATATTGTCCGCTGATCTCTAATATAGATGCATTGCTCATTGGCTAGATTTAGTGACGCCACCGACGCCTTGTTGGAGGGCCTGAGTGACATATCAGTTTAGACAAGTTTCTTTTGTCATTTGTTTACATTATTATTAAAAATAAGGATGCTTGCAAAACACTAATAATAAATTTGAATTTAACGTAATGATTATTTTTCAAATCATCTAACCTTGATGTGGCTTTTTATGCAGTTTAAAAAAACGCAAGCAAAGTTATTGCATTGTTAGGTTCGATGTCACTATAACAACGTGACTTCACTTGCGCTTTTCTAAACTGCATAAACAGCCGCGTCTAGTGGTTAGATAGTTTGAAAAAAAATTTCTACGTTAAAGTTTAGTTATTGAATAGTATTACAAGAATCGTAATTTTTAACTATAATTTAAATAAACACCAAAAGAAACTTGTCTAAACTGCTACGTCAGTTAGGCCCTCCAACATGGCGTCGGAGACCTCACTTTTTTCTGTACAAGGATTGGCCAATGAGCAATCCAGCTATTATAGTAGAGATCAGTGGTATTGTCCCAAATAAACACGTGTGTGCGTATCAAATTGTAGGGCCTTAATATTAGTTGTTGTCTTGTGTATATTTATGTGTTTAGTATTTTATTATTTTAACCTGTTTTTCTTAAATATGTTTGTATTTATTGAAATGAAATTGTTCCAGCCAGAAATCTCTTTTTTTGGACAATAACGAAATCTTGAATCTTCTTACTAACAATATCCAAGGGGTGCCAGCTTAGCTGAAAGTTCAATTCCAGTTTTATGTTTTTTTTTAAGCTCACCAAAGCTGGGGTATCCATTTAAGTCACATTATTTTATTAAATTTCACACCTTAGATAGCATAACTATTATTTATCTTAACATTAGTGCGATTATGTTTATAATTAGTTTTTTTTTTTTTTCAACAGATTCTAGTCAATATGCACACTATGTATTTAATTCCTTTGACATGGATCACAATGGAACAATAACGTTTGAGGTAAGAAATTATTCTTTTCGATGAGGAGTGGGGTAATGATTTGCAGGTATGAGCATCATCAGAGAATAGAATAGAATGCAGATAGGTAAATGGTCTACGAACATTGTCAAAATAGTGGGAATGATGTGGTATCTGTTCTGTAGTGATGCATACAGTTCTGTAGGGGCAAGTATTGTGTGAGTGCCTGGTCTTACAAGCGTAACACCATGTCTACATCAGTTTGGACCAGCATGCAAAGGTTTTGACTGATCTGCAGAAGTTGTGACATGTCTGCAGAGGTATCTGACTGGTATACAGAGGTGGTCTGCACATGGAAGAACAAGTCTGCAGATAGGAACCAATATGCAAATATGTTAAGTGGTCAGCAGAGATATGGACAGGTCTACTGCAAGGTCTCAGTATGACCAGTATTCAGATGTGGTAACTAGTCTGCAGATGCGACAGTAGACTTCCTAATGTATCATTTGTGGCAAAGACAAGCCAAACCAGTCACTCATCGCAAAAATTTGTTTTTAGTTACTAATAAAGTTTTAAAGAGTAAAATGAAAGCTATAAAATGGTAAAAAAATCATTTAAATCTGACATTCCATGAAGTTACAGGAACATACAGCTGTTTAATGAACAATATGTGAGAAATCAGCCCTCAAAGGTTATGATTTCAGGCATTTCTTAGGCAAAAGCCATCACAAAATTGTTAAAAAAATTGTTGTTTTAACATTTAAAATGAGGAAAATAACAGCATGGCATGATGTATAGATATGTAATGGTTAGTTTAGTGCATTAAAATAGATTTCAAAAATTTTGACATTCCAGCATGTTTTGGCCATTTTCTCTGAAACAGGATTTGTGATGAGTGACTGATTTGGCTTGTCTTTGCCACATTTGTTAACATTCATAGTATTTGGTTTGGAGTAAGAGTGCTATCTGTTTAAAATATTGTGTAATAAAAACATTAAGAAATGTAAAGCTTAGGAAGACTCGAAGACTCAAGTAAGTATAAGAATAATGAAGAGTTACAATGGAAGAGATCCCCTACAATAATAGTACAAAGTTCAGCAAAGCAAGGTTCCAGTCAGTTTGAGAGAAGGAAATGTCAAGCCAGTCAACAGCCTCTTTACTAGTATCTAATTGGTCATACAAATGCATCGAGTAATGCATCATCTTTCAAATAACTCTAAATTCTCTATTTAATTATCATCAGTAACGATAATTAAACATGAATCCTAAAGCGCATTCGGTTGAAATTAACGACAATTAATCATTAACGATCCAAATCATAGACAGTTCAGATATTTCTTATTCATCGTTCTAGAACAAACTGTTGATTAATTATCCATGTATAACATGCTATTTTCCAGTAGTGCAAACATGTGTAGAATGTAATACATTTTGATAGCAGACATCTGAGCTTGTTCTAAGGAATGTACAGGGAACTTTTGCAGATGATTGGGTATCAGACCACAAAATGTCAAGAATTAACTCTTATTATTAACATTTAAACTTTGTTACGAGTACCCTTTATAAACCATGGCTGTGTTCTGCAGCTGATTTATGCAATAGTTCACAGTTTTAATGGAAGTAACTGCGGTGCTATGCAAGGCAATCAGTATTATTTTCTTAGAAGTTAACGTCAGAGCATATGCCATGATTTTTATCTTGGTCAAAGGTAATGGTTGGTAATTGGTTGGGAACTTACGAGAGACTTGCAGAGTTCATAGTGCATATGGAAGTCTCTTTGCACTGTTTGTTTGTATCTTGACCAGGAATTAAAAAACTTGAATTTGCTATTAAATCTGGGCATTTGTCTAAAGACAATGTTTGATTAAACGTATCTGATGAGGTAGCATAATGCCCGGCTTTTATCGGCAACGTGCAGACTTGCAATTTGTTTGATCAGTTGCCTGGAGGTGGGCATATGCGCTATCATTTGATAAAAACAGTGCTGAGACTCTGACAAATGTCTGTCTGTATTTGTCTTGCTTAAGATGAGAGCTTATTAAGATTGTGGAAAACTCTTAAGCAAATTGGACAATAATTTTTGAGCAATTAAGACATTTTACTGAGATTTAAACAGTTTTTTTTTCACTTTAAAAACTTTTATATTTTCTGTCTGTCACAAGATATGTCTGCATTTCAAATGAATTCTTCAACAAAATCATAAGTTTAGCAGACCCAATCCCAATCTCATTGACATTGATATATAAATGACATTGATATAGTTAATGAACATAAATACCTTGGTAATGTTATCGATTCGAAACTAAACTGGAATTCTAATACTGTGCAATTATGTAAAAAACTAATCAACGTTTATTCTTCTTGCGTAAACTTACGTCATTCAATGTTAGTTCTGAAGTTTTAATGCTGTTTTTTAAAAGTTTTTTAGTTAACAACTGTATTTCATGGTAAACAAAACTGCATTAAAATCCTCTGGATCTTGAAATCGGCCCGTAAAGTCATCGGATCCGAAGTTGAGAGTTTTGATGACATCTATAACAAATCTGTACTTAAGAAATTAGTCATCATTATTAAAGATCTTTCCCACCCCTTGCATCATGAATACACATCTAACAGATCTGGCCGCCTATGCCCTAAAAAGTGCAATACAATAGATTAAGAAATTCATTCACTCACAAATCAGTTTATATCTATAATGCTAACTTTGACCGATGATTTCCCATTGCAATACCTTGTGCTATAATTATGTGTGCTGTTTTCCCATTTTTGGTCTTTTGTAACCTCTATTTATATTTGTATTTATATTTATTACGTGTATAAGCATCAGGAAAAAGAATTTTACTTGTGAATGTTTTCAATAAGTGACAATAAAAGAATCTTGTATCTTGTATCGTGTATCTAGAATCAACTCCAAACACAGTGAATGTTTTAATGAATGCTTTAAACCTCTTGACAATGTACACCACAGGTAGAATGAAATACTGTAAGTTATTGGCATATACAATATATGTATTTACTTTTTATAGGTGTAATGATTTGTTTTTGTTTTGTTTCATGTGCCTTTTTGATGTTTATATTTATATTTTTATATTTTTAACTTAGATAATTGTGGTGTTAGCCCTCAGGCTTTTGAAATGCATATGGAATATTTTGCAATAACAAACCTTAAATATTTATAACTTTTGATCTTAAAGTAGTATGAAACACTGAGCATTTTCAGGTCAGGTTTTTCTAAGGGTACTTTATACATTGCCTGCAGTACTACATAGTTGAATTAATTTTAGCATAAAATGTTAATCATATTAATGGACCTTAAATAAATGTACAATACTTAGGGTTTAATGAATTTAGGTTATATTGCTAATGATTTATTCAAAACCAACAATTTGTGCTCAGGGGAAAGCAGCAATAATTATGATAGATATTGGAAAGCTAAGTATGGTTTGTACCTAATGGTGGTTGTTAAAGTACAATCTACAATGCACCGCTTCAAGTCATCACACATCAATTCCTGATTGGTGACATTTTTAATCTATCTTGTTGACATTATCTTTTGTTTCTTTTTATCCAGCATTTTATTTCACCGAATGTGAAATGAATTATGTAGACATTCGGTAAGCTGATATACTACGTTTTGTGAAAAGCCACGAGAAGGGGTAGTTACTTATATTGGATTATAATATTTATATCCGTAGTGTCAATGTTGCTACTGCTTCAATCACAATGAATATTTCAATATGCCACTTGCGTAAAGTGTGCCGCTAAATCTTTATCCGATCTTGAAAAAAAAAAAACTCTATAGTGATTTTGCGATTAGGAATATACGTAAACATCTGTAAAGTTCGAATAATATTATGATACAGGTGGGAAAACTGTGTCTCCCGGTCCGCTTGCGGTCTGATGGCAAAAACCCCTTGCTGTTACGGCCCAACGCCTAAAATCTGTAAAAAAAATTACGGTAACCAAGCATAAATCAGTCTCAAAGTAGTATGAAGGTTTTGCAATTAATTAATTTTAATTTTAAAAACTTAAATTTTTCACCATAGTTTTACTTGCAGCCCTCAAGGGTGGTGCCAAAATTTGCCTGACTGGTGGCCCAATATCCCCTAACTGGTTTTTGGAGTGGTGACTCAAATTTGAGCATGTGTTGAAATTTTAACATGAGGGTGTAGTGTCTCATGAAAAATGACAAAAAGTCATAAAAATTAATTTTCAAATTTGCTTTCTTATTTTGAAGCAATATACAAATGAACAAATAAAGCATAGACATTACTTGGTTAAACTTGCTGCACATCTTAGTTAAATTGACCAAATGTTTCCCAGGTTTGTACGCACTAGATTTTTTCGGTCAAAGTGACCATGGTACATTTGTTATTAGTTTGACCAAAATGAACCTAATATATGAATGCATGGTGTTGTTGAGAAAAAGACATGTTAATTCTAATTTTGTGATTTATAAAGATCTGTACGACTTCGATTTAGCAATGAAGTATTGCCATAAATTTGAATTAATGAAGGTACCCATACTAACTTTGGGGTAGCATCTTATGAACAGTGATCATTTGATGACAATTTAACACAAATAATGAGATATAAGTTGATGTACTGTATAATATTCTAAAATATTTTCCTGAAAAATATCAAAGATCTGTACAACTTCTCAACTTTGATTTACCAAAAGTATTGCCATAAATCTGAATTAATGAAGATACCCATACTAAAGGGTAGCATGATCATGCAACGATGTTGTTTTTAGTACAAATAATGAGATAAGTTGACATATAATATTCTAAAATATTTTCTTGGAAAACATCACCAACAGCTTAAAATGTGAAGCTCTTCACATTTTAAACTCCTATGTTTCAAATCTTTTCCTTTTTTACTTAACCTCTTCTAAACATGTGCCTTAATACATTACTACACCAGACACCAGTGTCTGTTTCTATTATATGAACTTCTATTCACATGTTTTGTTTTGTTACTGTAAAAGGAGCATTAATTATGACCGGCTCTGGCAAAACCTGTCGGTTTTTCGCAGTTTC